TCTCATTTCTCATTTCATAATTTCCCACCTTCTTTTCTGTGTCCTATAATTGCTACAACTCTCTCTCTGTTCAAGAACATCATATATGATGATTCCAATTTTTTCTTTTTACTCAATTGAGGACACGCGGAGTGTGGAGATTGTGCCACTTGGACAGCCTTGATTGGCTTGGTGGGGTTGCTTCTAATCCACTCTTGCTCCATCCCTTGTCAATGTTTTAGCAGAAAGACATGGAGGGGAGACAGAATTTTATAGAGAGTTGTTTGGTTTTTTTGGCATTAAAAGAAGGGTTTATATATTAGATCCATTCTTTAATTTTTTTTATTTCTTTATTTCTTTTTTAATTATTTTCTTTGCATGGTCTTTGTGGGACCCCTTTTTGCCCTATGATCAAATTAAGCAAATTTTAACTTTTGAAGAAACAAAGAAAAAAACAGAGCGAGAGAGAGAGAGAGAGCATTGTTTTTGTGTAAGCATCTGATGACAGATATTACAAACTTCAGTTTGAGTGGATACCAACACCCACCTCAAGAAAATGACAAGAGACTTTGAATTTATCCCATCACAAATTAAAAAAATATATTAAAAAAATTTGGTTTTGTTTTTAACCTTAAAAAAAGTAAAAATTTTAAGATTGAGTTTACTAGGTTTTTTAAATTCTAATATTGTTTTATTAGGTAAGTTTTTTTTTTCTCTTTTTAAGATTCAGAATTTTCAATTTTGTGATTGTTTAAAATCCAGGTACTCTAAGAGCTCCCTCATCTTTTAATTATGCACCGTAAGAAATGTTTAATAGATCGGAGACTTATTAGATATGAAATTGAAAGTTTAAGAGCTTGTTAGATATTTTTAAAAATTTAGGATTTCTTAAGACACTTCTTAAATTTTAAGGAGCTATTAGACATACAAACTTTGTCATTTATTAACACCTTTGGTCCATCTACCTTCATTAAAGCGTAACGATTTGGTCTCTTACTTTTATTTTATAATGATTTAATTTTTGTATTTTTAAACTAGTAACAATTCAGTCCCTGAACTTTAATATGAAACAATTTAGTTTTCGTAATTTGAAATTTGTAACAATTCGTCCCAGCAGTGTAAATCTTATCAAAATTAAGTATCGATCTTTATCATATAACAATTTCGGCATTGTAGTTTATAAACACATTTAGTCCCTCATAATTTTATCGATCTTCGTATAAAACAAACTCCATCAGATCTTAGCAACGTTTTTCACAATAAGAACTAAATCGTTACAAAATTCAAACTACCAAGATTAAACTATTCCAAAAACTAAATTGTTACAAATTTAAAAGTACATTGACTAATTAAATCGTCGTTTCACACTAAAGTTTATGGATTAAATCGTTATTTAAACGAAAGTATATTGACGAAAACTAATTTTCTAACCCAAGAAGAAAAAAAGAAAAGAAAAGAAAAAGGAAAAAAGGTGGATGCCCCAATAATTTAATGAAGCCTTGATGTCAAAGAAAAATACCCATTTATATGATTATATATACACACAATAATGAGCCTTCCTAACTTGGAGGGGAATATTTATTATATTTTTGGCTTAGATGTAGCCCATGTGGGTGTGGATAGATTTGCACCATCCATAATTAGAAGCATAACCCTTCTCCTATAAATACCCCATTTTTCTTTTTATTTTCTTTAAATGTTTCTTTATAAAATATATGCATATGTAAATGTTCTCCCATTTAGGCCACTCTTCTTCATTTTCAATTCTTCTTCTTCTTTTTTTTTTTTTTTGGGTCTGTTTTTTTCTTGATTGTGGGATGTTTTCTAAGACCATATACTTTTAAAGAATATATTTTTTCTAAAGCCTATTATTTTAAATTTTTGGATTTGGTGGGTACTAATCTATTGAAATAGAACTAGAACAAGGGATTTTATTAAGTTTGAACATAAGTGTACTAGAGTATCTTTTTTCTTTTAAATTGATATTTAATAATAATTTACAGCTAGTTCGAGGAAAGCTAATAATTTTTTACTCAGTTACGTAGTAGTATGATTATTCAAAACCCTCAAATTTTATGAAGCTAATGAAGATTAATGAAGATGTTATTTTAGTTTTCTTAGTTTGAAGATTTTGAGGAATGTGGAGGAGAGAAAAAATGTAGTGTGTTTTTGAGAAAATTAAGGCTGTCTTTTTTTTTCCCTTCTTTCCAACATTTAATTTCAACAACTTGCCTTTATTCAAGGTCTGTGTTTGGTCTTTGGCAGGAGCAGGGATCTTTGTTTGCTGTACCTTTGCCTTCCCAAAGTACAGATGGGAATATATTAATGTCAGATTTTTGTGGTTATCAGTGATGCCATGCATGCATAAATTTTGGCATTAGAAAGGAAAAAATAAAAAAGTAGACATGTTTTCACATCTCGAAGAATCTAAATTCGATACCTGATACCTGATGACCCCGACATTCTATGTGCATCATGTCATGTCTTGAGTTGTTTTTGTGGGTAAAGACTGTTTTTATAGACCAACAAACCGTTCTTTATAGTGTCCTGTATTTTTATTTGCATAATATTAGAATTGTTCGAAGTACAACACAATTAACTTTGAAATTTCAACTGAATTGACGGGTTAAATAAAAGATGCACTTTGTTGGTATAGATATTAACTACGAATTCTTTTAAGTTCTTTTCACGTATATACTTGTTTGTCTAAAAGAATCACTTACTTTATACTATGATGTAGGTGTTAGTTCATGTGCTCTTGTACTTTAGTTTAGGTGGTCATTTGTATTGATTTATGTGTGCTTTATATTATAATATTTCGTATAAATCCGAACATAATTTAATAAATAAATAAGACACTTATTGACATCTCAAAAGTCGAGGGTCGAATAATCTCCCTCCTCCGCAGTCTTTGAACTAAAACAAAAAATGTAATACATGTGTATGTGATGCTCAGATATTGGGTGGGTAAATTTTGGTGATCAAGTAATTAGAGTAGGAATTGAATTATTCATAAAGCTAAAAAGCTTAGAGGGAGAGGGATTAGTGAAATTTTATATAAATTTATGTGGCTTGTCTTCATTAAAAAAATGAATTTACATTTTTTGTTCGATACATTTAACTTTAATTTCAATTTAGTACTTCTACTTTTATAAATTTTATATCATCCCTTATTTTCCAGTAAAAACTTGCCAAACATTCTTATGCTATTACTAAAGAGTAATATAAAGTAATTATTTAATGTGTGGGAAGTTATTTATTTATTATTATTATTATTATATTATTTTTTTTTAATGTTGCACTCCAAATTTAACTCCTTGCATAAATTTATTTTTCAATCAAAATAATGTGTTAAAACTCAACCTCTCTAGTCAGACTCATGTGTATTAATTAAAACTATTGATGGTGAATTTTAGAGGGGACAATGTGTCCCTCAGAATGGAGCGTCAACGGAAAATAAATGAGCATGCAACCACAAGTTTCGATACCGATGTGTGTCTCACCTAAGAGACTCCGACAATCAAGTTAGTAATCAATAACCTATAAATTCAGTAACATATTTTTCGCTTATTTGGTAGTGGTAGAGGTCTTCCCCCTTTGTAGGCATTCGTGACTGATTCAGAAGGACGGTGATCGGGGCGCAAAGACACTCTCGGAACAGACATCCTTGACGCGTGATGGTGGCATTGCCCACTTGCCAGTCTGTCTCCCTTGGTAGGACTAAATCTGCAAGTTGCAGCGTGTCTCC